TTTCCCTCCTTCTCTTTCTTTCTCTCATGGGATAAATAAACTTTTATTTTTTAAGTTTTTGCTGGAGGGTATGTGCACTCCCTGGAGAGAGAGAGAGAGGGAGAAAAAATGAGAAGCATCCCAAGGCGATGGCCACACCACAGTCCCTTCTCCTCCATTCTCCTCTCAGATTTTTGGGCATGCACACACAGGCACCCAGTTTGTTTTTCAAGTCACCAGGTCCAGGACTTGAACCACTTAGTTGGCCATGTGGGATCCAGCCACCTTCACTACCATGCCCCTAACTGGCCCTAAATAAACGTCTAAAAATGAACTAAAGAGAAAGATCTGAATACACAAAACAGGAACAAAATAACGTAAGAAATGGCAGGCATAGAAAAATAGGTTTCTTTATGTTCACACAAAGAGCAATTTTCTAGGAAACTATCAAAATGGGATATTATCAAAATTGACTTTTAAAAACGTCTCAAGCCTGAATAGGTGAAAAATCATGGAAGAAATTAAAAGATGTATCAATAACTTGCCCCCTGAGAAGAAACAGAGCAGAGTTCGATTTGCAGGCAACATTGAAGCCATCTGCTGCATGACCTCACTAACAGGAATCTGTATTGTGTACTTCTCCAATCAGGAAGAGTTCATTATTTACTTTCACAGTATCAGCTTCAAATGGGCATATGTTTGGTTTCTTCAACTCGCTCTATCCAATATGCCCCTATTTTCCTTTCTTTTTAATTTGCCAAAAGATTTCTGTGCTCATCAGGGACACAGAGAGAGAGAGAGAGAGAGAGAACAGGGGAGAGAGCACAACCCCAGTGGGGCATAGTCACACCACAATCCCTTTTCCTCCATCTCTCTCTCCCACCTGGATTTTGGGCACACATGCACACATACCCAGTGTGCTTTCCAAGCCACTGGGCCTGGGACTCAAACCAAGTGGTCAGTCTTGTGGGATATGGTCACCCTAACCACCGCCCTTGGGCTGGACCTGCCCTTAATTTTTTAAAAGGACAGCCCCTTTTCCCTGATATACTTCTATAAATACAATAATGGAATAAAATTATCTCCTATTCTTGTCATTTTTAAAACAGATGAAGTATTTGTTCTAGTCTGTTCCATTGTTAACAATGAAAGATACCTGAGCCTGGATAGATTAAGAGAAAGACATTTATTTGGCTCATGGTTTAAAAGTTCAAGGTCCAAGGGGGTCCAGAAGCCATGCCTAGTGGGTTTTCCTATCGCTGGGGTCCCCAGGCCATGCAGGGAATCACCCTGTGGAGAAAAGAAGTGTAAATCTCTCTGTGTTCATTCCCTTCTCCCTCTAATTATAAACCCACCAGGAGTCAATCCTGGGGGACCTGCCCTAAGCACTTACTTTCCCTAAAGTTCCCACCTTTAACACCATGAAAGTATCAAGTTTCCTTTAAAAAATTATTTATTGGGACCAGCAGTTAGTGTAATGGCTATGTCACTGGACTCCCATGTAGTCGACCACAGTTCAAGTCCTGGACCCGGTGGCTTAAACTCGTGCTGGGCACACGTGCGTGCATGCCCAAGATCCTCAGAGGAGAATGGAGGAGAAGGGATTGTGGCGTGGCCATCCCCCCTGGGGGGTGATTTCTCGCTTTCTGTCTCTCTGTCTTTCTCTGTCTGTCTGGCAAGCGCACGCACCCTATAGCAAAAACCTCTCAAAAAATTATTTATTTAATTCCATTTAGTAGTATTATTTTTTAATTTGACCAGAGAGAGAGAAAAGGAAACCGAGAAAGCAAGCCGCCAGGTCCTAGACTCAAATCATGGTTAGCCATGTGGGAATTCAACACCCTTAACCACCACGCCACCTGCCTGTCATTAAGTTTCCTTTTAATACCTTCACAACTGAATCTCAACACATGAATTTGAGGGATACTCAAACCGTAATATTTATTACAGGGGTAGATAGAAAGGTACTCTGGACAGGGGCCCTGCTATTCCAAGGAGAAAGCTGGGCAGAGGAGGGCAAGAGGCCAGAGACCCCACACAGAGCGTCTAACATACTCTGGGGGAACAGCAGCCGAATGGGTTGGTAACAGGCAATGCTGGGTGTGTGCATACGCGTGCAGAGGACTCCCAGCCTCGAGGCGATGGAGGTAACACACTCTGGCATTAACTACCTACAGTCGTGTCTTTGCTGTCCCTGAGGCACAGAGTCCCAGGAAATACAAGAAACCCCAGGAAGCACTCTCCCTTGGATCTTAAATGCTGCCCAGGTGATCTAACCCAAGTAGGCAGCCTTGGGCTCTGAGTTAACCAAGCCCTTCCTCCATGTTTTCACACGATGTTTACAGTAGTGACCTACAAGAATGAGGATTTCGAGTTGGCCCCATTCCTAAGGGAAGACCCAGAATACAGGAAGAGGGGGAGAAAGACCAGAGGAAAGATGCTTTACCAGCACTTTTTTTTTTTTTTTTCAAACCCACTCTTTCTAAATGACTCTGGGTTTGTGTTTTTCATTCAGGCGGGATGTGCTGAGGCATTTTCATTTTGCTCCATTTCCCTCCCACCCTACCTTCCAAGCAAATTCCAGCCCAGTGCTGTTGATTTCTGTCTTGCGACCATTATGGAAATCTGGCTTCATTTCTCCTCCTAATTTATGATCTTGTTAACATGCTCGCATGCCAGATGGTCCTGTTCTTCAGGTTGGGAGATAATGAGATAAACAAAAACTGCTGTAAGAAGCAAAGAGAGGGAGTTTTTTCCCTTGAATGGGCTGCTCTTCATTTCCACAAATGTGCTTTGGAGGCCTCTGCTGCAGCACCCTGGGATTCTAAGCAGGTGAGCAGTGCCCTGTGGTGCTCCAGAGGCTGCCAAGTGGTGAGTTATTTTTTCTCCGTGGCAACTTGTGCTCCGGAATTCTGTCTCAGGAAGAACTGAGGCCTTGAGATCACCCCCTGTCCAGTCTGTGGTAGAGTCTGAACTACATGCCATCCTGTAGCACTGTTTGCTCACCCCGGGACAATGCCTTGCACATCACTCTAATTGCCTAGTTTTCCTTTTGTCTTCTGCACTGTTAGCTCCCCGGAGCCAGGGAGCAGGCTTTTCCCTCTGAATTGCAATCCTTAGCACAATGCTTGGCACACAGCTGGGACTCAACAAATAATTTTGCAGCACTTCTAAATATGCAAACACTGCTAATAAGAAGAACAAGGAGGGGGGCTAGTCCATAGCCTGGCGGTTAAGGCAGCCACGGAGTTGACTGAACAGTTCAAAAACATGCCATGTGCATTTGCGTGCCCCAAATTGCAACCAGAGGGGCAGGTGGAGAAGAAAGGATTGCAGTGACCATTCCCCATGGAGGCTTTTTTCTCGGTTTCCCTGTTTCTCTCTCTTCTCCAGTTAGGGCACAGATTGAGAAAGAAAGAGAGAGAGAGAAAGGAAGGAAGGAAGAAAGGAAAGAAAGAAAGGAGGGAAGGAGGGAGGGAGAGGGGGAGGGAAGAAAGAGAGGGGGAGAGAGAAAGAAGAAAAAAGAAAGAGAAAAGAAAGGAGGAGAGAAAAAGAAAAACAATCAAAAAAGCAGAGAACAAGAAGGACCAATCTCATAGCTTAGTGATTAAAAAAGGTGGGTGGGCCAGCAGGTGGTGTGGAGGTTAGGGCACTGGGCTCCCACATGGCTAGCCATGGTTTGAATCCCAGGCCTGGCAGCTTGCTTTCTCACTCTCTCTCCCTCTCACTCTCTGAGGAGTGTACATGCCCAATAGCAAATTAAAAATAATAATAAATAAAATTAAATAAATAATTCTTTTTAAAATTAAAAAAAGAAAGAAAAAGAAAACTAGATCCCACATGACCAACTGCTGTTCAAATCCCAATCTGGCAGTTGCATGTTTTTGGCACGTGTGGCCAAAATGGCAGTGTGACCACGCCTCACTGGGGGAGAGGGTCTCTCTCTCTCTCTCTCTCGCAAACATACATACTCTCTGGCAAAAAAAAAAAAAAAAAGAACAAAAAGAAAGAACAAGAAGTTGAATGAATAAATACATAATACGTGGAGACACCATCAAGGTGAAACCATAGATAGACCTTGAAAAAGAGTTTTCCATTTCCTCTAACCACCTTGAACCCTACTGTTGATACCCTAGGAGGAATCTCAAGGGGCCCTCTCATCTACCTCCTAATTATGAACAGGTGCTCTCATACCTCCCAGGAAGATAGCTATCCAACACCCACTGCAGAGGGAGTATAGAAGAAATAGGCAAACTATGGTTACTAAGTTTAGGCGGGCAAACTTAGTCACTCTGTGTAGTTACTGTCCAGTCCAGGAGTCAACCAACTAGACTTGAAAAATAAAGAAAAAGAAGAAAGAAAGAAAGGAAGAGAAAGAACAAAAAACAAACAAACAAAAATAAACAGAGAACAAGGAGGGCCACAGCTGGGGTCTGCTTCTATAAATGTTTTAGTAGGACATGACCATGTACATATTGTCCCAGGCTATTT